AAGTCGAGACATAGGTAAGAACGCTGCATGGCACTATTTCAGGTAGAAAATGTAACAGAACCATCATAACTACTAGACAGCTTTATCCATTTTACACTGTGGTTTAAACTTCAGAGTGTAAATATATTAGAACAGTTTGTGTTCACAGAGTAACAGGGTATGTGGAATTCACTGTGAGTAGACAAGACTTCTAATAACGGAGTGTGTGTTTGGCATGACAAATCTTGTATTGATTGTAGTAGACTGCTTTGGCTTAACAGGGATTCAGGTCGATGACATTACACATTAATCTCATTCAGTAAATGCATCTATGTTTTGTTACTGGAACTGGAACTCTTGAGGCAACTTGCTCCTTTTTGTAACTGTATGTATATATGTGTAACTTTTAAACCCAGTATTTTTAGGGGGGATTGGCTAGGGTTTTTTGTTGTTTTGGGTTTGTTTTTTTTTTAATATAGTAATAAAATGTGTTTTTAAGAATGTACTAGATATGCCACAAAATGTATTAAAGGTGAATGACCTGCCAAATGAATGCTCTGGGTCATGTTCGCTTTTGTTGAAGACCACCTGCATTACTTTTTAGTGATTGTCTCATGCTGGAAGAATGCAATGTTTACCCTTCATCTTCGGTAAGAGGCACAGCACTGGGGGGCGCAGGTGGCCATCTGTGTTTTGCCAAACTGGACAGTTTTTTTAGTTGTGCTTTTAGATTTTGCAAAAGTGCCTGCTAAACCATGACAGCTATTGGTTGGAGGGCCAGAGGGTCTGTTGCGTGGCACTCATGTCTGCTTCCCATTAGCAACTTAGGCTTGCGTGCTTCCCTGGTGTCACATCAATTCAGAATAGCCCCGTTGAGTACATTCTTAGGTCTCAAACTCTGCCCTTAATCCTGTCTAGCTGGGGACTCAGCTGCAGGCGTGGCCGGCGGGTATGCATGAATTGTCTGAGGAGATGGCGTTTTGTCTGCACTGTGGCATCCAAGACTAAAACAGTAAGACAGGAGGGGACAGCTAATAGGGGTTTGTCAATCCTCTTCCACTTGTCCAGCACTCTGGTATTGGTATTCGTAGTAGCAACAGTCATGTAGTTTTTAATTGCTGTGCTTACAGTAATGTAAACTGACTGTAACTGTGATTTGTGCTCCATGGTGCCAGGCAGAGCAGCTAGCTGGAAAGGAGAAATTTTCTATCTGGTGAAAATGTCAATTCTGGACAAAAAGGAAAAAGCAAAAAATGTTGTTTTGTCGAGAGTGGAAATCCTAAACCATTTTGGGTTCGGTTCTCTCTCTTTTTGTTTGTTTCAGTGGTCACCTACCTAAAAAAGCTAAATGGAGCAGTTGTTACACCAAGGAAGAACCGCTTACCCACCCCAAACACAAATGCAGCTGAGCAACCCGGCTGCCTGTAGCAACTGAAAGCTGCTGTACTACAGGGTCCTGGGCAAGCTCACGCGGCGTTAGTCTTGTGGCAAAGTCTCTCGCATTAAATAAGCACAGAGACGCTGGTAAATCGTTCATACCTGGCTTCACAGGCAGCGTCAACGCTTTTAAGGTTTCCAAGTGTTGGGTTCACAACATGAAAAATGTCATGGGGTGGCCGCTCCCCCCGACCCATTGTGTGGCTGTCAAGGCTGTTGGCGATCACGGAGACCATTGGTCGCCATTGATAACTTCCCAGTGAGAATGGGCAGCAGAGCTGAGGACACAGCCGTGCTGTGGCTTCCCTAGCCATGGGCATCAGCTAACAATGGTTTGGGTTTTTACATTCTGGTGGGTCCCGGCTTGATCCTGAGTGGGAAGGAGAGAGTCACCACCTCTGGCAGGGGGAGGTCTCGGCAGTGGTTTCCCAAATGCAAAGCAAGTCTGGCTCTGCTTCACTTCTCCTGAGCATTAAACCTAGAACCCAGGTCACAAACAACTGCCTCTGAAAAACCCTTGGCTGAGGTGCGGGGCACCGGTGAGGAAGATACAGCATCAAGACAGGAGATTCCTCATTCTTCGCTGTAACCTTTTCAGCTGGACTGTCTGTCCCTTTCCCTTGATTTGCTGCGATTGAACGGCCTGTGCTGCCACGAGAGTATAAACCAGCCAGCTGCGGGGATTCATACTTCAGTGGGCCGCTTGCCACGTACATAGACATGAGACATCATGCTAAAGGCCAGATACTTCTCTTATTCAAGGAGAGTAATAAAGCAGATTTTATTTGACTTGTATAAATCCACTTTAATTGGCTTTCCTGCTAACACTTTCATTAACATGTAAATTAGCTGTCCTAGAGTTGTTAATTATCTGTGCAGAAAATGTGGGATATGGTCATATAACGTACTCTTTCTTTTTTACTGCTCTTTATGTTTTATACTGAAATGTGCCCATAAATATTCACTGTATTTTTTTTTAAGAGGAGGATGAAGAGGCTAAGGCTCTGTGTCATCTTGCGGGAAACAACTGTCTTGCTTCAGCATTATTCACCAGCCTGCCACCACGTTAAACTGACACTCACGTAAGAAGCTTAGCACTGGGTTTTATTGGTTTGGCCTTTGAAGGTGCTGGGGATTTCTTTAAAGTGTCTGGCAAACGAGGGAGCAGAGGAGGACGGCGTGTGCTGAGACAAAGGCAGCACACACAGTTTGGCAGTGGCAGTGAAAGAGGTAGGTACTGCAAGTGAGAAGGTGGCTGAATTCCCAGTTTCCAAGAAGCTGAGAACAAGCCAATTAATTTTCCTATGGAAAAAAAGAACTGAACTTTTTTTTAATACATCTTTCTGCAAAAAAAAAAAGATCTGGAAACGAGGGTTTTTTCAGCTTCACCAACTGCTTAAAAATGCTCTCCTTCCTTTATTATTAAAAGTTCTCTTGATGCTTCCCTTAACAAGTTACCATGACAAGTTGCCATCTGTTTATTGTTTTTAACTGCCTGCTTCAAACAAACAGCATCTACAGCGTACAGCTTTACGGCACAGGCAAGGGAAAAGCCTGTGCGGCTACAGCAGGTAACAGACACGTTTAGCACCATGGAGTATCCTTGCCAAAATCTTGGGCTTCTGCGAGGCACGACTGCTGGCTGGCTAAGAAGTGAGAGATGACTTCATTATGACGATCAAGCCTGCTTCGAGCTGAGCAGCGATACTTCATGAGCCAGCCCATGGTGGTAAGGGAGCTGTGGGGTCACCTGGAACACCAGCCCTACAGGCTGCGGTGCAGTACGGGGTAGGCATAAGGAAGAGGCAAAGCAGGCACGCAGGAGCCCTTGCCTGGACTTCCTGCAGCGGCCAACAGGGGCTGCCTCCCCC